TTAGAAAGAATAAGAGCAATGTTGAAGGATACATCCCTAGAAAAATCATTCTGGGCAGAAGCAGTCAATACCACCTGTTATTTGGTGAATCGAGCTTCATCAACTGTAATAGAGCTGAAGACACCAATTGAGATATGAACTGGTAAACCAGCTGATTATTCAAACCTCCATATATTTGGAAGTATTGTGTACGTGATGTACAACTCCCAAGAAATTCAAAGTTGGATCCAAAATCCAAGAGATGCAAATTCTTGGGATATGTTGATGGTGTAAAGGGGTATCGCTTGTAGGATCCCACTGCCTGCAAAGTGATCAATAGCAGGAATGTTATCTTTGTAGAAGATAAACTAAAAAGAAAAGAAGACGATGATAGAACTGAAAAGTCAAAGACTACACAGATATATGTGGAAAATGAGGTTGAACAAGGAGATTCTTCTGAAGCGAACCAACACATGATGAACAAGAATAAGAAAGTTCTGAAGCTCCAACAACTCGTCAATCAGATCATGTGAGAAGATGTCCCAATTGGAACTCAGATTATGTTATAAAAGGTAATATTGCATACTGCCTTTTAACAGAGGACGGTGAGCCATCAACATACGAGGAGGTAATAAACAGCTCAGATGCTTCACTGTGGATGATGACAATGCAAGAAGAAATTGAAGCCCTTCATAAAAATAATACATGGGACCTTGTGCCACTACCACAAGGAAGGAAGCCAATTGGTAACAAATGGGTCTTCAAAATCAAGCGAAATAGTGATGATCAAGTTGAGAGGTATCGTGCAAGGCTGGTGGTCAAAGGATATGTTAAAAAAGAATGTATTGATTTCAATGAAATCTTTTATCATGTGGTTCAACTAACAACAGTTCGAGTAGTTTTGGCAATGTGTGCTACATTGAACTTACATCTAGAGTAACTAGAAGTTAAAACAGCTTTTCTTCATGGAAATCTTGAAGAAGAGATTAATATGCTCTAGCCTAAAGGTTTTGAAGAAAAAGAAAAGAAGAACTTGGTTTGCAGGTTGAACAAATCTCTTTACGGTCTAAAGCAGGCGTCGAGGTGTTGGTATAAGAGATTTGATTCCTTCATTATGTGCCTTGGATACAATAGACTTAACGCAGACCCTTGTGCTTATTTCAAGAGGATTGGTGATAATGATTTTGTTATATTGTCGTTGTATGTGGATGATATGTTGGTTGCAGGACCCAACAAAGATCATATTGAAGAATTGAAGGCACAACTGTCTAGGGAATTTGAAATGAAGGACTTGAGATTAGCAAACAAGATTCTAGGGATGCAAATTCACCGAGACATAAGTAATAAGAAGATTTGGCTTTCACAAAAGAATTACTTGAAGAAGATATTGTCACGATTCAACATGCAAGATTGTAAGCCAATTTTACCCCTCTTCCTATTAACTTCAAATTACCTCTAGTATGAGTCCAAACAGTGAAAAAGAGAGGATGAAGATGTCTCGAGTGTCGTATGCATCGACAGTGGGAAGTTTAATGTTCGCTATGATATGCACAAGACCAGACATTGCACAAGAAGTGGGAGTGGTTAGTCGGTACATGGCAAATCCAAGAAAAGAGCATTGGAATACACTAAAGAGGATCCTAAGATACATCAAAGAGACCTCAAATGTTGCATTATGTTACGAAGGATCAAACTTACTTATCAATGGGTATGTCGATTCTGATTATGCAGGGGATTTGGATAAAAGTAAATCTACTACATGATATGTGTTTAAAGTTGATGGTGGAGCTGTAAGCTGGGTTTCAAAATTGCAGTCAGTTGTGGCAACATCCACAACAGAAATAAAATATGTAGCAGCTACACAAGCCATTAAAGAAGCAATCTGGTTGAAGATGTTATTGGAGGACCTTGGGCACAATCAAGAGTATGTATCTATGTTTTGTGACAGTCAAAGCGCCTTTCATTTAGCAAGGAATCCAATATTTCATTCAAGGAGAAATCACATACGAGTTCAGTACCATCTCATTCGTGAAAAGGTGGAAGAAGAGACGGTAGATATGCAGAAGATCCATACTAAAGACAACATAGCAGATTTCATGACGAAGGCGATTAACGCTGATAAATTTACTTGTTGCCGATCCTCTTATGGCCTGACAGAAATATAAGCAACATGAAGGTACAAGGTAGAAAGAATGGTGTGAATATATGATTGTTCCAATCAAATCTTCAAGTGGGAGATTGTTAAAAGTCAAAATTCACAGCTACATTAATTGTCTTATTTTGCTGCACATAGGGCGGCTGAATTCAAAGTTGGCTGTCAAAATTAGGCACATGAAATTGTTGAATTTCATGGAAGGTAAAATTATAGATTTAGTCATTGTACTTTAGGGTATTTACAAGATTAGTCCTTAAGCTTCAACTATAAATACCCTAACCCATTTAGCTTCAAAATCATCCCAAAGCATTCTAGCTTTCTTCCAATACTAGAGAATTTAGAGAGTTTCTTGAGAGTTGTTTTCTCCTTTTTATCAAGAGAGAATTATCATTGTTTTGTTCTTGGTAGATCGAGAGAGGTTGTAATTCTTATTTTCTCATAGTGAAATTCTTCTACTGTTGCCCGTGGTTTTTACCCTATATTATTTAGGGTTTTTCCACATAAATTTTGTGTCTCTTTTATCTTCATTTTTATTTTCTCAAATTATTAGTTATGTTTTTGCTCTATCCGATAGTTGTCTTCCACAACAGTGATTGGTAGCACAAGGGCGAGCATCGACAAGTGAAAATTATCCTAAAAATGGCGGTGGCAATTGTTTCGAACATCATGGAAAAGATAGGAACAATCTTGACTGACACAGCCATGCAAGAGATGAAGACGTATGGAGGCCTCAAGAACGTTGTCAAGAATCTTGAAATATATCTAAATGTCATTTGATCCGTTCTTGAAGATACATAAGAACTACAAATGGTGGATGGTCCTATCGGTCTGTGTTTAGAAGATCTGAAACTTGTAGCTTACGACATGGAGGACATACTGATGGAGTGGGAAAGAAAAAAGAAGGGTTCTTTAGTTGACAGGGTAAAATAATTGTTTTTCAGAAGAAATATTAGTCGTAGAATAAAAACATTTGTGAAAAACTGTCTGCGTTTGAAATGAGAAATAAACTCTCCCTTGGCGAAAGTAATTTGTAACACCCCAGACCCAACCTATGCGTTTCGACTAAGTCTAGAGGATTACATTAAAGATTCTCAAAGGCATTTTCCCAAAAACATTATTCAATAATTTAAAATCATATTATAAATGACATTTATAAAAGTATATAAAAATTAACGAAAAAAAATTTAATTTGTAAATATAAAACATGAAAAAGATCAGGTAAAATAAAACATGAAATAAATCCGGAGCATCGTAAATCAAATATCAGTAGCAAAACCAGTAAACATTATAAAATGATAAATACTTCAAAAATAAGGCACATGTCACTATAATTAAAAGCAGTTTGGAAGACAGAATATTACAACAAAATGTTCAGAACTAAATGTACCAATCCTCCAAGTGCCTGATACGAAGTGTCTATCCGGGAGTATCTGAAAGGGGGTAAAACAGTTTAAAAAGTGAGTTAGAGGCTCAGTGTGTCCCAACAGTGCAGAAATAAAAACACACATTTATGATTTTTAAAACCAGTACAGATCACAGTCATTAAAACAACATAGGAGTTTTTAATTTAAAAACTCTACATCGTCCTCCAACCAAACGCCATGTGCATATCCCCAGAAATGCACAACCTAAGGGAGTACATTGGGGCCTGCGAGCCTACCCAAGACAATTCTCGGGGCCACAAAGGCTTACCCAAGAAAATCTCAGGGCGAGCCTACCCAAGGCTCTCCTTAGGTCCATAAGGAATTATCAGTCGGTGTTAAACCTATCCGAGGAATTACCAACGGCGACTGAACCTGCCAGAGTCTTCATATCAGAACCCAAAGTGCCCCGAAGAAAACATTTTTCAGACGATAACATGTAGTAACAATAATTTAGAGTTCAGATAGATCATCAGTTCAGTAAACCATTATCCAGAAATCATAAGTCGGGTAATCATGCTTTACATTTCAGTAAATCCGGAATCAGGTAAATCATACAGTAGTCAAATCAGATCAAACATTGTACTTCAAATCAGAGAAAACAATCATGTGCACTTGAGATTTCAAAAAAATATTTAAAATATTTATACTACACACAAGGAACACACCTCGATAATAGGGTCAGTCCGGAGATCTATTGGGCACCAGATTCACTAGGCTCTTCGACTGAACGATGGAGAGCTCGATTTTAAAACATTGGAAACTTTGACTTCCTCACCTCCCTCACGCGCCGGTGACGACAGAGACGCGACGAACATCGGTGGACTCGGAACGACACAAGGAACACGATGGTGCAAGAGGTGTCGAAAACAGAGCAACGATCGACGATGAATTGACGATTTTCACACCGGTGTTGTTAAAAAAAGTTGAAACTTTGAATCAAAATTCACGGCGTTATATAATGTTTTACTATAATCGGTATATGGGGTTTTGTTCACCAGTTGACAACGAACACGATGGTGGTTTCGGATCGACGATCGGTGGCCGGACGGTGGAGAGATCGAAGCTCAAAGGAGGGGTGTGGGGGAGGAAGTTTTGTGAAATTTGATTTTTATTTCTCCACATAAACCAAATTCACGCTTATATGAAAGTGTCTGCCGACACTAATTGGTTAAATTCAAGGCTAGGTCCCTGAATTTCTTTCAACTTCAAAAATTGACTACAAGTTAAAGTTTTAATTTAACCCTAAAATTTCACCCAAATGGTTAAATTATAAAAATTTTTCCAGGTTGTTACATAATTACTTTCCCCGCGAAACAAAGAAAGTTCTTGCTTTGGCGATTTATTGGAAGTTGTTAGTCAAGATGAGCTTACGACAAAGATAGTGTCAGATTTAGCTGATGAGAGTCAACAAATTAAGGACTCGTACTATCTCCATAGTGGGGATGGGAGGAATTGGAAAAACAGCTCTTGCGCGGTTGATTTACCATGATCCTCGACTGATCTACAAGGATGGACAAGATCAGAGAAGATTTGACAAAAAGATTTGGGTATTTATTTTAAATAATTTTGACACGATAAAGATTGCACAAGCTATCATTTTAGCTTTGAAGGAGGATAATCACCCGGACATAACTTTTGCCAAGTTCATGCAACCTTCAATTACATTGCAATACCTTCTTAAACATATCATGGAAACTATGGTAGAAATTAAATTTATGCTCATCTTAGACGACATGTGGGAAGATAATCATAACTATGGTTGGGAACAACTCCATACTGTTTTAAAAAAAGGCAAGGCTGGGAGTATAACTGTGGTTACTACTAGGAAGCTATCTATTGCAAAGAAGATGTCTTCCGACTCGGATTGCATCTATGATTTGTCAATTTGGCATGAGGTAGATTGTCTCTCAATCCATGAACAATTTCTTTTAGATGGAAAAGATCAACTTTCTGATGAAGAACGCGAAAGCTTGAGAAATATTTCGATGAAAGCAAAGGCTTGCCTCTGGTTGCGAAGGCTTTGGGAAAATTTTTGCTAGAAAGTCAGCCGGTTCAGTGGAGATATCTCCAACATAGAGAACTATGCGATTTTGAGAATGTGTGGCAACTTGTAACGTCGTCTTTGTTATTGAGTTATCTTGATCTTCCCTCAAAGGTAAAACAATGTCTGCTTTATTGTGCAATCTTTCCTAAGGGGCTTCGAATTCAGACAGATGACTTAATAAGGCACTGGATGGCACAAGATTATTTAACATTTGGTACCACTGTAGACATGGAAGATACATGTATAGACTTCTTAAGTCACTTGGCGTCTTGCTTTTTACTCCAAGATTTTGAGAAAGAAGGTGATGCTGGCATTGTTGCATGCAAGATGCATGACATAATCCATGATCTTGTGAAATTTTTGACAGGAAAAGATTCAAACACAATATAGGTAGATGGTTCCCTGAATGACCTTTATCTTGGGATGACGCTCGCCATTTGACTATAATTCTTAGAAGTCCAATAACAAGAATAGACATATTGGCAGGAAAACTTAAATTGAACCGTGTACGTAAATTGCGCAGCCTTATAACTTTTTCTACAACTGGAAGTCGAGAAGTCACAAGTGATCTATGCTTCGATTGTTTAAAGAATTCAGGATGATAAGGGTACTGACTTGGGTTAGAAAGATTCATGTGATTTATGTCATAAAATTATGCACATCATATGTAATTTGAAGTACTTAAAGCATATGAACTTGTTTGGTTGTCAAACGCTACGAGACTTACCTAGTATCATCTGTAAACTACATGATCTGTTATCATTGGATCTTCACGGGTGCAACGGTCTTAGAAAATTACCAGATGGCATAGGAGAGTTGATCAATTTGAGATTTCTTCTCACTACAGATTGCTTCGGACTAAGATCCTATCCAAAGGGCATTGGGAGATTAACGTCTCTGAGGACGTTAACGGACATTATTGCAATAGCTGATTCTAATAATCCTACAGAGTTCTGATTGGGAGATCTCGAAAATTTGAACAACCTTCGTGGAAGTCTTCGTCTGAAGCCACAGGAATTATTTTTTTCAACCACAGCGAGTGGTGAAATGTTCACTCTGTGTTTTTGTGGCTGTATACAGATAATATGGGCAGAAATCTTCTTCCAGTACCAAGTGGTATTTCTTTCTGTGTTAGTAGTATAGGTACTTTTTTCCCCTTCAACTTCAAAGTATCTTCTTAATGTTCTGCCGAAAACATGCAATTCTAAAACAATTGTAAGTTCAATGATTTTTTGCACGATAGTTGCTAAATTTTCAGTGTTTATATTGGACCGACGAAGGATATGGAACAAAAAAAAAGAAAAAAGAAAATACAAAAATTTACAGTACATCATCGATCATGTTGCGTAGTCCATTCCATATCTAAAGATCCAAAATGCTAACAACCTGTTAGGTATGACTCATAAATATACCGATAAAGAGGACAGAGGATGGAGCAAAGTGAGCGAAGCGGATCGAGAGGAACCAGGTCGAGCAGTGAAACGGTCAGGAGATCTCGAGTACCTTTAATATACGATAACAATGATTAGTCCTTGACCATTCGGTTCAATTAACTGAATTAAAACACTTAAATAAATATGCATTTTTTGGGTTTACGGGTCAATTCGAAGGCTTTCGTGTTTGAATTTGACAAAATGGACTTCGGATTTGGACTAAGAACATCGAAAAACATAAAATATAACTTTTCAGAAAATTTAACTTTTCAGGTCAAAGTCAACGGATCCGGTTTGGCCAGTTCAGGCCGGTCCAGAGTGGGGACAAGCCCCATGTGCACGTGACGGCCGTAGGGGTGCGTGGTACCGGCGACAGGGGTCTGGTCGGCGGCCGATTACTCCCTAAGCTACAACAATTCAAACCAACACCATATACAACATGTTTTCATGTTAAAACACTGGAATATTATCTGAATTAAACGATCAGACTCTTACCTACGACGGACGGACGAAACGTCAACGTCGACGCGACCCACCGGCTGGGTTTTGATCGGGCGATGACGAGGAGTTTGAAATCGGGGGCGATGAGGCGAACGGATGAGCACGGTGACCAGATTTCGCGAAAAATCAAACAGCGGGCTAAGGATTTCGACTGAGCTTCTTTGACGATTCCACGAAAAACTACGACTTCTCACGTCAAATTAGTAGAGGGGTCTCGGTCGTCGGCTGCTGGACTTTCATTTGGGTCGGACGGTGCGACGAAAATGATATTTTTTCCCCTGGGAAATTTTGTTAAAACACGGGGAGAGGGTTTTCAAAAAATGGGTAATCACCCAATATTTAAAAATAAATCAAAAGTTTATTGTTTCCAATTTAAAATAATACTCTAGCCCATTGTCTAAGGTATGGGTGTCCATATTGGTTTACAGGGGTTCAAATCCCCTCATACATCATCAGTCATCTTATATTTTTTTAAGCTGATTAGAAAAATGGGTTAATTCGGGGTTAAGTCTCTGAACTTCCCAAACTTTTGAATTTAGCTAAGAGTCTTTAACAATTTGCCTTTTTGTCTGGAAAACAATTAAATGAATTTTAGATAAAAATTTTGGGGTATGACATACAGTGTGCTGGCCAAGAGCCTGAATAAATAATCCATCAATTATCTGAAACTGTGTTTTACTCTTTTCTCCTTGGGGGCTTTAGTTTATTACCTAAGACACAGAAAAGGCGTTTTTATTTTTGTTTTGTAATATTTGATCACTATACTTCTATTTTATAATTTTTCTTTCTAGGGTAGAATTCAGTATGTTCTCTGTTATACAGGTATATCCAATGTACAAGGCCTTCATCGAGCCAGATCTCCAAACAACACAAATAAAAATCATTAACAAGTTCAACCCTTTTACTGGTTTTCAAAGTCCTACCTACAATTTAAAGGTTACTATTTGAACCTACTTCTTTGGCTGTTTCTTCGTCACGAATTATATGATACCGGTGACTGTACTTATGGTATACTCTTGTATCTATGTCCTTATATGTTCTGGCATCTGTTTGTTTTTTTTAATTGTAGTCAGCAAAAAAGTAACAGTCGATCAAATTAAGAGCGTCTTATCTGAACATACAGAGAAAGAGGAGCAAACTTATGATATCTACCTTCTACCTCCTGGTGAAGATCCCTAATCTTGTCAATCATATCTGCGGATGCGGAATAAAGATGGGAAATACAGCCTTATGTTTGAGGTTTATCCCTCAGATTTATGCCTCTTATTTTCACAAGTTGAATCCCTTTAGATGTGAGCTCATATTCTCATTAGTGACCGACAGTTCCACTGGTCCTTTAAATCTTGCATTGCACAGCAGTTAAGTGTTATAGGACACTGGAGGTATAACTGTAGATACGTTGAGAAAGTATGTATGTGATCGAAGCAGATATTAATTATGAAAAATAAAATGTCCGGTCCCAATGACCTTGTTCCATCGAATGAAGTTAGCTGAAGAAGAAAATGCTGGATTGAAGTTCTTTTTCTAATAGTCTGTTAAGACACTACCTGTTCAAGAAAGTCTGATATGATAGTTTGTGATACTTGTTTTCAGGAATGGGTTACCGATATTCCATTGTAATATCTCCAAGAATTACGTTTGAAGTTAGTGTGCGCCTCCTTGGTGGGCTAATGGCCTTGGGTTATACAATAGCAACCATCCTTAAAAGAAACAGCCATGTATTCTCCGATGATAAAGTTTGACAAAAATTGATCGGCTAGAACAGCTAAATCGTCAATATTTTCAGGTATTTGAGGGAATCCGAAATCTTCTTCCGAGTACTTAAATGTGTATTTTAATGTACTTTTGGAATTATTTGTCTATTTTTCAATTTATCTTTTGGACAGTTATAAAACTTATGCGTATGGGTTTGATACGGCTAACACTTTAAATGCTCGATAAGTGCCATTTATCATTCTTAGAAATGGCGTAATTGGCATTTTAGGTTGGTCAGATAATAATGTAGGGAATCAGATGCTTTATTTAATTTAAACCATCTATTTCTAGTTTGTTTTGTGTCGGTATTCGGTGTTGATAATCGTGTTTTGACATTCTTAAATAGGTGCAAGGAAGAGATCTATCAGTTGTAAAAAAGTGTTGCAGAGCAACTTGGTTTAGAAGGCTCATATGTTCCACGCACCTATATCGAACAAACCGAATTGGAATAGCTTGTAAATGAGGTTATGGTATGAAAGCCCTCGAAATCTGGTACCGTCTTTTTCAATTTTAGTCGTCTAGTCTCTCTTATCTAATTATTGGACAGGCCCTGCCAGAGGATTTGAAGACCCCAAAGAAGCGCTCTTGCAAGCCTCTGCAGATAGGGTTGCCTTGAGAAATAGGCATCTCAAAAGGTACAAACATTCGATACATCACTTTATGCAGCATATGAATGCTTATGACCTATATGAGTGGATCTAACTAAATAGACTTCATGTTTACAAAAACAGTGGCATGTTACGTTCGTATTCAACTCAAAGTGAGAAGAATATGTCGAACTTTGCTGGATATGATGTGAACAGCAGGAGGTTTGGTGAGCGGAATTCAGAGTCGGCTCTAGCGAATGAGGTTTTTAGCTAGCTTGTATAGCTTTGTGAATGATCTCATGCTAATTTACTGGTGAAATGCTTATTTCTCCTGTATTACTCTTCTGCACTTTGTAGGGAGTCAACACTCAGCTTTCGGAATAGATATCCTATCTGAATGATAGAATGGACGAGTTTACAACGTTTATTAAAGAGTTGAATTCCAAGTTAGCCGCCAAGAATTCTACGTCCAGCCAACAAAACTTGGCTTTCCAGGCTGAATCCTGCAATGGCTCTGCTCCAACCTCTCACTTCATTAATGGTTTAGGAAATGGTTCCATTATGCCCAATTCCTTATCATCCTCCAGCTGGCTAAGGATTCACCTATTATGGAAGAGGTACTGTAACCGGTCTCATGCCCTTTATTCGAACTTTTTATTCTGGGGGTCATAGGTTCTTAAATATACTCGGTATGAGTTCGAGAGTCCAGGGTCTGTCTTCACGATTTTATCTTTCAAGAGGTCATCACGATGCCGTATGAATATTGCTTATAAAACCATTTCGAGATCAGTTTTTTCCCTCAGCAGACATCAACTGGCTAGGACTTCATAGTGCGGATGCAAGTTATTTTGCTGCAGTTTATCATTTGTTGTGTGCTTGATTGTTTGGTGGTGTTGTGGTAGGCTATTGTCCTCTATTTTATAGCGAATTACTGCATTTAGGTTAATGAAATTCATATTTCATCTCAAAAAAAAAGAAAAACAGTATATTTAAATTCATTGTATTTCTCATTATTTAATTATATTTTTTTGATAAAGATAAATTCAAACCATGTTTGCATATAATGGAGAAAAATAAATTTATAGTTATCTTCATTAACTTGTTGAGTATTCTATTTGTATTTTTTAAAATATAATATATTAAAAATATAAAATAATATACATTTAAAATTTTACATAATGTAATTTTATAGTAATATAATTAATTCAATAAAAAATAAAAGATAAAAAATAAATTATAATGTGTTTGTTCAACTAAAAACAGATTTTGAAAAATGTTTTCAGGAAAATTTATCAAACAGTGGAAAATATTTTACACAATATCATCCAAACACCATAAAATGATTTATGTAAATTGTTTTTCAGGTAATGTAATTCATTTTCTAGAATTCATTTTCAGTGAAACAAACATACCCTTCACCTATAAATTACCCTTTTAATATTGAATTTAATATTCCTGAAGTTTGATTGGAATAGTTCATGCCTTGTTTTAAAAGAGTATATATACCTCCACCGAAATTTAACCCAACCCAAAAATATATATTAAATGTTATGTAGTAAAATTAGGAATGACAATTTGTTGGGTGAGGTTAGATTTTTTATCAACTCGATTCGACCTGAAATATATATATACTTCCACCTTAGTTTAATCCTACACGAAAAATATATATTTTTCATTCGACTTAACACGATTCGAAGATATACTTCCTCCACCCGAATCTGAATCCAACCCGATATAAAACAAGGGCCTAACTAAAAAAAAATCTATAGATAAGGTATTATCATGTCTGTCCTAATAGATTTGGAAGTCATATGCTTCATTTTAAAATGATGTATCTAAAATATTTTATAGTAAGACGAAATTATAAAATATCAAAATTTATCATATTACGATTGTTTCTTATAAAATAAAATTTCAAACATATGAAATTAAGACAATGTCACAAAACAACTATATAATCGTAACATTTTATTTAAAAAGTGTCATCATTCGAACGCTCTTAGAAGCAAAATCAAGATTTTTTTTTAAATGTGAGACCTTTAGATTTTGGATTTTGGGACTCTATGACGTATCACATATTACACTTACCGAAAACGGGTTTGAATATTATAGTAATTATCCATAAATTTATATGAGATAAATGCATTGTTACTCCCGTGTCGGGTCAGGTCGAAGATTTTTCACCCTCCATCTGAATCTGATCCAACCTCACCCCTTATATAAAATATAACCCGACCCGATTCGTACTCGATTTTTTTAAACAATCTGACTCTATTAAATTGAATAAGATCAAAATCCATCGGTTTTGGATACAATCTTTTTCACATTTTTTATCACAGTTTTTTTTTTTGTTATATAAGTCAGAGATACAGTTTGATGCATTATAATGAGAAACAAATTAGTATGCCACATCAATTTCTATAATTTCACATCATTATGAATAAAAATCCACCACGTCATTGCTAGTCAACCTTAGACCTCACTTTCAACTAATTTAACCCAAAGTCTGTTGTCTTCTAAAGTGACATACATTTTTCTGGGTTTTGGTTTAGTTTTTCTTTTGTTGAAGCAAAAAGGGAAGAAGTCATGGGTTTTTGGTTTCTATCTTCCACCACTATTCTGTATATCCCAAAACCATTCTTGAACAGGTTTAGCAACTGCTGCTCCCTGTTTTTGATTTTGATTTCTCTTGTTCATTCAAAATTTGATCTTTTTGTGTTAGGGAAATCACCCATTTCTCGTTTCTTGCTGTTTTTTGTTATGCTTTTGTATTTTTTATTTGATTTAATGAGTAGTTTATAAGAATTTGTTGGTGTTAAAAATTATCTTTCTTGGTTTGATTTCTTTGCTGTTTGGATGTTAGGAAAATACCCATTTCTTATTTTTCTGTTCCTTTTAATGATTTTACAAGTGTTCCATATGTGATTCTTCATTCTTTTGTAGCTTCAGCTCTCCTGTTATCACCTACCAGAACAACAATCTTTATTGTTTTGATGATCTTTTTCTTAAATTTGTATTAGTCATTTACCTTTACTAGAGTTTTCAATTTCCTTTTTTCTATCAAGTTCGAGTTGTTTTTTTTTATAGGTGTATGCAGAGACTAACAGCAGGTCCCCTTTACTTGTTCTCAAGGGAAAGACATTGATTCTTTTACCATTGACTTGTCTACACTATGAAGCTCCTGGTCCTGGAAACACTGATTTACCATAAAGGACCAATATGTTAAGGTGGCTTACTTGTAGTTCTCACGTTTCCTCAATGTTTTTCCATAGCACCTAAGTTTACCTTAAGGTTTAGAAAACTGATGCAAAAATATAATACCAGGTTGGCTTCTGGCATATTTTTGGTGGCAAGGTAAATACCAAAGAGTTCAAAACAATTTTTACTTTAGAAACATAGCATTTATGCATTCCTTTTGTGATATTATTAATGTATTCTTTGTATAATCCGAAAGTTATCATATTGATATAACTGAGCGTTGCTTCCTACTTGTTTTCATCATCTATTGGGAGATGCACATAAAATTGTTATCAAATTTAAAAATGTATCCCAATATAGATGCTGGATTGTGAAATAAATAAAGTAATAGGTTGTTAACTTGCATGCGACTACTTTAGTCTAAGCAATAAATGTTGAGTGGGTAATTGGAATGGATCTTTTGCTTTTAAGTTCAAGCCTCATGGAACCAGCCAACTGTAAAGACATTCAAACTTGAAAGAAAAAGGATATTCTTATCTTAGTATGTAAATATTGCTGATATTTTAGCTTTTATCCCCCAGTCTTTAGCATTTGATGCGGTAATATAGCCTATTTTCTCGGACTTTGTGGTAAAGTCAAATTTTCTTTTTCAAGATTTACGTATACAAGTTTGAGTATGCGTCGAACATGGGCACTTATGTAGAAGTGAAGAGTAAGAGTAGCTTAGAGTATAGCTTGCTCATTTCACAAAATACAAGACAGGTTTTCAACCTTATTGATTCCTGAATGATATGATTTTACCGCTCCTTCCTATCAAAAAAAAATTTTACCGCTCCTTATATTTTATCTAAATTTACCTTTTCATAGGCATCTCGTCGACGGATCTTTTCCTTGGATGTTGTTTTATTAGATATCTTTGGGCAGTCAGTAAACAAGGAACTAGAGGTAATTTAGTCTTTATGCTTAATTTCGCGGTACTATTTTTACCTTCAGCACCTAATTTTTCACATTGCTTGTTGGAAAGGTCGTTGCATCACTCTTGTATGCTTTTAATTGGTTACCCGTTAAGAAGATAAATGGTGAAGAACCTCCTCTTCTAGTTAGCTGTGATGGTATTGAATTTGCCTCTTCTGACCGACCTAATAAACTATCAAAGGGGCGGGCATCCTTTAAACTGAAGATCTCCAAGGTGGTAATATTAGATTTAGTTTGTGCAATATTTTATTCAATAAGTGTGTTTCTCGGTAAAAATTTCTTCAAGGAACTTATTGCATGAGAAACTAGTCTGTAGTTTTTCATTCGTCTAGAAGTCTTCTATTGCGGAAAATAATGTCTTCTGCTGATGGTAACCAACCCCGTATAATATAACTGCAGCTAAACTACTTCTCATAGCAGAGGTTACAATATTTTGTGTAGCTAGGTTGGTTGAGTTGAAGTCCGGGTATAAATTCATAATGTCTTCACTGATAAGCACTTGAGCAAATAATTAAAATGTTCATTAATTCCAAACTAAATAAGCACATCTGATAAGGTTCACAAGCTTATCCAAAAGTTGGCTCATACGCATGATGTATATTGGCTGATTGGAAAATCAAGCTCTTAACTGCTACCTAAAGAAATTCATGGCTTGAGCTTGAATTAAACTTTTGCAAGCCAAGCTTGATCAAAATTACTAGATTGGCTATTACAGCCTCTGGCAGAATCAATAATGATGGCAGGGAACTATATATATATTTTTGCGAGAATTTGACTTTCTGTAACATATTTTATTTTATTATTTATTCATATTGTATTCATTAACGGTTTGGTTCTGATATTGTCTCAGGTATTGTCGGGTAATGGATTTCAATCATTTGGCTTAGATTATATTTCTTGTGAACCTAAGCACAATACTGTAGATGAAGCAGAACTCAGTCCAACATCGAAGAGAGTTGGATTGGGAGAAGCAAAGATTTCTAACATAGACCAACACAGTGAAGAATGCAACACTATTATCTCGAATCACAATCAGGTTTAGATCAAGACTTTTGTCCTTTTCAATTTCCTTGACATCATCATGCTATGTCTTTATAGATCGTTAATACAAGAGGTGCATAAATCACTTTTGAACTATAAACAACTACATCGCTATTTACAATCAGGCTGAGAATGGTTTTGGGTCAAGATCAGAGGCGAGAGTTGAGAGTTTTGAAGAAGTGAACACTTCCCTACCTGATTCAGGGATCACTGGGGCCCATGATTCAGCTTTAAAGGGTGTGTCAATTAGGGGGCATTCAGTTTCGGATGTAACAACTTTTAGGTACTGCCTGGGGGGCTTGACCGATAGGTCTCTTTTACTCAAGGAAATTGCAACTGTTTCGAATGAAGAAATTTCAGGCTTTGCAGAACAGGTTTCCGTCTACTCCGGATGTTCTCATCATAGGTACCTTACAATGCTTCAGCGTTCAGACATTATTGTTCGTGATCATTATATTCTTGTTGGTTAGTATAGTGAGGAATGTGATGGTACTGGTCGTGATATCTCTTGATTGTGAATATTGGGAAAATATACATCATTGTCAATTTTTCTTGGGATCTATATCTAGTGTTGTTGAATTTTGTATTCTTTTTGGTAATGGAAAAACATTGTTGCCTGCTCATAAACGTCAAATAAATATGGCAAAGAGATTGATAGATGAGGGAACAATAGCCTGGAATTCGATATCACAAAACAACCTTCAAGTTCAATGGGAGGGAGGGAGGGAGGGAGGAAGGGAGGGAGGGAAAAGAAAAGAAAAGAAAAAACCCAGAATCAAATATCTTTATTTTCAGTTTCTCTCAAATGTATTCACCAATCTCTACTGACCTAAGTTCTTAAGTCCTGCAAGCATCAGTTTCTTATAGTATAGACTTATGTTAATAATTCTTGTTTTACATTATCGAGTGGCCGGATAAAGGCAATGTGGAACTCTACATCGCCAAAGTGGATAGAAGGGTTTATAACAAAGGAAGAAGCTGAACTATCACTTCAAGATCCGAGAGGCCTGCATGAGCCTGGGACATTTATACTTAGGTTTCCTACTTCAAGGAGTTGGCCCCACCCAGACGCTGGTAGCTTAGTTGTGACATATGTTGGCAGTGATTACACTATCCATCACCGGCTGCTTTCTCTCGATAATGTATATAGGTGCTTGTTTCTTGCTTTATCAAATTTCATTGTTGTCTTAATTTTGAACTGTTATTAAGGATGAACTCATTTTAAGTGATTTATTTATTATTTATATTTGAATCCTTAATAATTTATTTGCAACACTGTACATGTTGTTCGTCAGAATACAGACGAAACGAACAGCATAATTAGGTATAATCATGATATACTTGACTTGTGTATGTTCAGCTTTTGGATTGAGTTTTCCTCTGTTACTTGGACTCGGTATGAATGTCTTGTACAGCCTTTTCCGATTTAAAGGGTTCTTCAGGGTTAAACATTAGTGGATACTTTAGGTACCATTGTTTAGTTACACTATTTATAAACATTTATCATTATCGTCATCAGGCGATTTATGTTGCGAGCTTGATCGGAACAGCGTTGGCATGGCAGATTTGTACAGTGGGAGTTGTGGGATTGGTCTATTTGGTGTCTTCTTTGTACTCAAACGTTGTTAGCATGCTTAGTTTTCCATTTGTTCCGGTTGTTGGCGTGGTGTTGTACGGTGAAAAAATGGATGCAGTTAAGGTATTGTGTAACCCCTCAGACCGATGCGGATAACCCGATCCGATCTGGAGTGTCATATTAGGGCCACCGGAGCGACCCATTATAAAAATAGCGAAAAATTTAAAACTTTTATTAAAGCATGTAACTTATAAAATGATTTATCAATATGTAGAAATAAAACATATTTTCAGACTTGTATATAAAACAAAATACAATCTACATGCTCCTTAATCACATGTACCGTACTCTGCAAACAACCCCGGAAGAACTCCCTTATTGATGTTGATTGGTGTACTGGTACAATTCATTTAACCTACAATGGTGAGTAATAGAGTGAGCTTCGGAAAGCTCAGTAATACAGAACTACCAAGTGATGCTAAAGAACATGTAGATAAATGTGAAGCCATAATTTTCTTATTGAATCAAACGTATACCAGTTTGCAAGATAATCTGGGATTCCATTAGTAGTTCATCTAGTAGAAACCATGAAGATCACAGTTCATAGGAAGCATTCATAGTATCACGTTTTCATGAGATTGAATAGGATGTCTAGTGTGTTCAAACAGTACGATAAAATCATAGTGGGTACAATAAACGAGTAATAGTTCAGTAAATCATCATAAAATCATAATGAAGTTTCACTTTTGAAACTCGTAGTTTAAATCCTTTTCATGTACACCATCCGCAGTTCCTCAGAACTACGTCCGTAGGGCTTACCTTAAGCACACAACAAAAAGGAAGCCACCTAAGGATAGGCTTTGGGCCTGTATCCTTAGGCCTGTAAGTCCATAGGACTTACCCTAAGCACACGGCAAAAGGGATCCAACCTAATGGAGTATATTGGGGCCCGTGAGCCTACCCAAGAGTCACATTAGGTCCGTAATCATCGTTATCATATATCAGTGAAAACTAATAATCAAATATCATTCATAGTCCATAAACTATCATCGATAAGTCGGTGCATCATAAAACAGTAACCATAGATTTTAGTGTACCACATTTCAAAACAGATAAAACAATTATGTAGTACATAGGGAACACACTAGAGGGTCCAAGTATTTTTCAGTGGCCTTTTGTAATTTCGGTAAGGATAACATGAAACTCGTGCAATTTGATCAGATTACAGCAACGAGGTTATATTGGAGAGAATCGATTACTAACCGATCTAATCGGACACTTAAAGTTGATACTGTAGAATCTCACTATGATTCATGTGCATCAGGAAAGCGTTCAGGAATAACCGGAGTGATTTGAGCTAATAAAAGAGAAACGGAGATTCTAGACATTACAATTCATGTTGATCGATTGGTTTATCGAACTATTCGAACTGAACAACTCTCAGAACTAATGTTTGTCGACCCGTCAATTTATTGCCTTTCCAAGTATTCACTCTTTAATACCAACAATTCTTGTCCATAAATCATCTTCGTAATCATTTCTGAATAGATCTTCCTATGGTCTTTATTTCATTTCCACGTTTCAATGATATTAGAAAATACAGATGTACTTAATTCATGGTTCATGGCCCATAAAGACAATTCATCATGTATATTTATCAGTGTTTCCAAACTCATCCAATCACCTATTAAATCCTCAGTCATTGAGGTTACTTAGTTCGTTTAGCACGCAAGTTTATCCCGGTTACTTCAGAGTTTTCCATATTAATTCAGACACTTCTGAGTTTCAGATATATGTTTTTACTTCCGTTCATTTCACTTTGGTCATATACTAAAATCATTTTGGTATTCGTGATTGATTTATCTCACAAATATCCACTTCTTAATATCGAATGCACTCTAGCGTTGAGCTGAGTACTTCCATAATTATCATCAATCCAAACTTGAGGAGACGAACTAGCATTCAAGTGGTACCTATGCCATTCAAGTAATGATATAGCACTATCATTGTTTGACCGGCTTAAATTGCGTTTAATAACATTAAAAAGTAGTACAACATTCATGTTTATTAGAATTTCTTAATTAATCCAAGACATTTACTTAGTATAGTCTATAAGGGCATTTTGGTCATTTTGGTGCTCAATGTTTTTCCATTCATTTCAAAGCTTGAGGATATCTATTCATTCCTGAACTTGGTGATACTCTTGAGTCATTTCCATCACAAGGGTATTTTGGTCATTTTATAGACCTCACGTAGTTTAATCAATTCCTTCATTTTATAGACCTCACGTAGTTTAATCAATTCCTTCCGTCCGATCTTATTATTTAATTCAGACTTATTATCTATTCCATTCTATACAGATAATTCTGAGAGAAGAGCACCCTCGATAATTTATTCTTAACTCGGAGATTTTCAGGTCAATTACCTTCTCAGAAGTTACAAACAGGTTATCAGGAATTTTCTGAACTAAGTCAGGATCTTAACAATCAAATCCGTACTTAATCGAGTTAAGTACGAATCCTCAAAGCACTATCTTATTCAGGGTCAACTCGGATTATTTTTACATTTCAAGGGCATTTTCATAATTTCTTAACCCAAATAATTTCGGTATAACTCTTAACGAAAATAACTATGATTGAGAGATCCTATGGTTAATTTTTCCCCTAACATTCTATGATCTCAAAATGATTCCTTAACAGACTTTTAGTATCTTGCACAAACCCTCTTGGTTTTAAAAACCGGTTATTCGCATTTCCTATACAAAACTAGAATTTCATATGCACATCAGTAGTTTTATCAGATCAATATGTCTTTTCAGATTTACTAATTAACTTACAGGGACAATTCTTATCATTTTCCAATATAAGGATAATTTCGTAATTTTACCCAATCGAAGTATTTCCATACCTTATCAAATGAGATACTTTATAAAATTTCAAAGTCCAGTGCTAATTCCTATATCACTTAATCTCATAACTTGTAATTGAATTCAAACTGTTCTTCAATTTCTTATATTAGTCATTTGATCCATATTTAGTTACCGAAATTTTTACTGTATTCGAATCAAGTGTAGAACTTCATTAATTACACATCTTTACCAAACATTTTCATTCATGCATTTACCAATATTCACATGTTCCATAAAGCATAAAGAGGTAGTAAAGTATTACATCGATTTTCGTACCATACTGATTGATCATATAAATTCCATTTGAACGCCCTCGATCTTTACTTCAACTTCCAATATTTTCCTCATGATCCAAGCAATCAAAATTACTAACTCGCATCCAAATAATTTCCCTTGCCATAAAAATAACTTATTATAATCTAAATAATAATTTGAGGACTCAATTGGTAAAATTGATAACTAATGTTGCCATCAAAATAGTAAATTACTTAAATTAGTGACTAAATTGATCTTTTAAAAACTATTACGTCATAACTATAACCACTTGGAAACTAAAAGACAAGGTAAAGATCTCACCTAACTTGAGTGACATACCTTGTGATTTACCACTTTATTTTCCTAGACACCACCCACTTGATTTTTCAAGTTGGAATCATAACACCATTTTCCTTTGTCTTCAGATCATATTCCTATTTGTTTTCCCTTAATTTTTTTTAATGTTTGATTGTTGATAAAGAAAACTAATTCCAAGCTTCTTAGTTCGATGATTCCACTATTAGATTCATTGTCCATGGTGGATGTGAAAAACGTCTTGATCTCTAACTCGATGGTAGCCAATTCTTCTTGTTCCTCGACTTGATCATTATCGACCACCAAAGGGAGGACTTCTTGTTGCAAATTCTCCAAGCTGGGACTCGCTGGTAGTCAGTGTTTCGCCCGATTTCGACCCCATGAACCTGTCTTTGCTGTGCAAATTGCTGGATAAAAATTGGGTTTCGTAGAGCTTTAGCAAGGAATGTCATTATCTGATGTTGTTTCCTTTCTTTGTTCTGTAACCTTCCCTCCATTGCAACAACTTGGTACCTTGAATGCTGTTGTTACTGCCTTATTCACATGATCTCAGCTAGTAAAACACTTTGATCCCTCTTTAATCGTTCCAATTCTTCATCTAATCCAAATTATCCTAACTCAACACAAGCTCCTCCACCTTGATGTTGTGAGCTCGACACCAAATTTCTTCTCCTCTTGATCGTTTTCAATAGGTGCTTTTGGGTACTGGTTTCGTTTCCCCCCAATGGAGAAGATGATTACTGTCATCTATAGTTTTATAAAATAATTTTTATAATTTAGTATTAAATAGTACCCTAGACTAGTTGACAAAGACATGATCCATTATTGCAGGACACGGTTTCAATCCCACCAAACACTTGAGAAAATTGTTCAATGCAAGTGGATGAATAATCCTTATTTTATGGATATTTTAGTTCCCTTGACAATGACTTCCATTTATTTATTATATGCAAGGAGATTGTTTTTTAGGGAAAAGTCAGAGCAATAAGTTTATTTAATAGATATCATGCTTTGGTGGATACAAATCTGGCCGAAAGTGAGCTAAAAACATTGAATTCCAACCATAGTGACAATGCCATTATCTTTAATTTTCATAGTGGACCCATAATTTTAATTTGACTAATACTAAAATTAAATATTTAATCATAAAGAAA